AGGCTTATCTATTTTGTTTATTTTCTCAAAGAACCAGCTCTTGGTTTCGTTGATTTTTGCTATTGTTTTATTCTTCTCAATTTTGTTTATTTCTTCTCTGATCTTTATTATGTCCCTCCTTCTGCTGACTTTAGGCCTCATTTGTTCTTCTTTTTCCAGTTTTAATAATTGTGATGTTAGACTATTCATTTGGGATTGTTCTTCCTTCTTCAAGTGTGCCTGGATTGCTATATACTTTCCTCTTAAGACTGCTTTCGCTGCATCCCACAGAAGTTGGGGCTTAGTGTTGTTGTTGTCATTTGTTTCTATATATTCCTTGATCTCTATTTTGATTTGTTCATTGATCCATTGATTATTTAGTAGCATGTTGTTAAGCCTCCATGTGTTTGTGAGCCTTTTTGTTTTCTTTGTAGAATTTATTTCTACTTTCATACCTTTGTGGTCTGAAAAATTGGTTGGTAGAATTTCAATATTGTGGAATTTACTGAGGCTCTTTTTGTGAGCTAGTATGTGGTCTATTCTGGAGAATGTTCCATGTGCACTTGAGAAGAATGTATATCCTGTTGCTTTTGGATGTAAAGTTCTATAGATGTCTATTAGGTCCATCTGTTCTAGTGTGTTGTTCAGTGCCTGTGTGTCTTTACTTATTTTCTGCCCGGTGGATCTATCCTTTGGGGTGAGTGGTGTGTTGAAGTCTCCTACAATGAATGCATTGCAGTCTATTTCCCTCTTTAGTTCTGTTAGTATTTGCTTCACATATGCTGGTGCTCCTGTATTGGGTGCATATATATTTAGAATGGTTATATCCTCTTGTTGGACTGAGCCCTTTATCATTATGTAGTATCCTTCTTTATCTCTTGTTACTTTCTTTGTTTTGAAGTCTATTTTGTCTGATATTAGTACTGCAACCCCTGCTTTCTTCTCACTGTTGTTTGCCTGAAATATGTTTTTCCATCCCTTGACTTTTAGTCTATGCTTATCTTTGGGTTTAAGGTGAGTTTCTTGTAAGCAGCATATAGATGGGTCTTGCTTTTTTATCCATTCTATTACTCTATGTCTTTTGATTGGTGCATTAAGTCCATTTACATTTAGGGTGACTATTGAAAGATATGTACTTATTGCCATTGCAGGCTTTAGATTCGTGGTTACCAAAGGTTCAAGGTTAGCTTCTTTAGTATCTTACTGCCTAACTTAGCTCGCTTATTGAGCTGTTATATACACTGTCTGGAGATTCTTTTCTTCTCTCCCTTCTTATTCCTCCTCCTCCATTCTTCATATGTTGTGTGTTTTGTTCTGTGCTCTTTTTAGGGGTGCTCCCATCTAGAGCAGTCCCTGTAGGATGCCCTGTAGAGGTGGTTTGTGGGAAGCAAATTCCCTCAGCTTTTGCTTGTCTGGGAATTGTTTAATCCCGCCATCATATTTAAATGATAGTCGTGCTGGATACAGTATCCTTGGTTCAAGGCCCTTCTGTTTCATTGCATTAAATATATCATGCCATTCTCTTCTGGCCTGTAGGGTTTCTGTCGAGAGGTCTGATGTTAGCCTGATGGTTTTCCTTTATAGGTGACCTTTTTCTCTCTAGCTGCCTTTAAAACTCTTTCCCTGTCCTTGATCTTTGCCATTTTAATTATTATGTGTCTTGGTGTTGTCCTCCTTGGATCCTTTCTGTTGGGGGTTCTGTGTAATTCCATAGTCTGTTCGATTATTTCCTTCCCCAGTTTGGGGAAGTTTTCAGCAATTATTTCTTCAAGGAGACTTTCTGTCCCTTTGCCTCTTTCTTCTTCTACTGGTATCCCTATAATACGAATGTTATTCCTTTTGGATTGGTCCCATAGTTCTCTTAGTGTTGTTTCATTCCTGGAGATCCTTTTATCTCTCTCTATGTCAGCTTCTCTACGTTCCTGTTCTCTGGCTTCTTTTCCTTCAACGGCCTCTTGCATCTTATCCATTCTGCTTATAAATCCTTCCAGGGATTGTTTCACCTCTGTGATATCCTTCCTGACATCTGTGATCTCCCTCCAGACTTCATCCCAGTGCTCTTGCATTTTTCTCTGCATCTCATCCCGTTGCTCTTGCATTTTTCTCTGCATCTCTGTCAGCATGTTCATGATTTTTATTTTGAATTAGTTTTCAGCAGGACTGGTTAGGTCTGTCTCCTTCTCAGGTGTTGTCTCTGTGATCTTTGTCTGCCTGTAGTTTTGCCTTTTCATGGTGATAGAGATAGTTTGCAGAGCTGGTATGAGTGACCGCTGGAAGAGCTTCCCTTCTTGTTGGTTTGTGGCCTTCCTCTCCTGGGAGAATGGCGACCTCTAGTGGCTTATGCTTGTCAGCTGTGGGCAGACAGGGCTTCTGCTACCTGCCCGTTTGCTATGGAGTTTATCTCCGCTGTTGCTGTGGGCCTGGCCTTGCTGGGGCTGCTCCTCCAAAGTGTTGGAGCCTCGTTGGAGGGGGAGCGGCTGGGAGCCTATTTATCTCTGTAAGGGGCCTCTGTGCTCCCTGTTGCCCTGGGGGTTAGAGTGCCCAGAGATCCCCAGATTCCCTGCCTCTGGTCTAAGTGTCCTGTCCTGTCACTTTAAGACTTCCAAAAAGCACTCTCTAATCCAAAACAACAACAGCAACAATGAAAGAGGAAACAGAAAAAAAACAAAAAAGGAAAAAAACACGCGATTTTTTTTGTTCTCAGGCTCCATTCCCAAGCACCCGCTCACCGGTCCTGCTGCCCTGCCTCCCTAGCACTGGGGTCCCTGTCCCTTCAAGGCCTCCAAAAAGCACCCGCGAAGAAAAAAAAAAAGGGAAAAATGTGCGATATTGTTTGTCCTCAGGCACCGGCCCCAGGCCTCCGCCCACCGGTCCTGCCACCCTGCCTCCCTAGTATTGGTTAAAACGCACGATTTTCTTTGTCCCCAGGCGCCGGTCTCAGGCACCCGCTCACCAGTCTTGCTGCCCTGTTTCGCTGGTATTGGGGTCCCTGTCCCTTTAAGGCTTCCAAAAAGCACTTGCCAAAAAGAGAAGAAAAAAAAGGGGGGGAAAAACACGCGATTTCCTCCATCTTCAGGCGCTGGTCTCAGGCAGCCGCCCACCAGTCCCGCAGGGAAAAACGCGCGATATTCTTTGTCCTCAGGCGCCAGTCCCAGGCACCTGCTCACCAGTCCTGCTGCCCTGCCTCTCTAGCACCGGGGTCCCTGTCCCTTTAAGGCTTCCAAAAACACTTGCCAAATAAATAACCGCTCCGGTTTCTTTCCACCCGCCAGGAGCCGGGGGGAGGGGCGCTCGGGTCCCTCCGGGCCTGGGCTTGTATCTTACCCCCTTTGCAAGGTGCTGGGTTCTTGCAGGTGTGGATGTGGTCTGGATGTTGTCCTGTGTCCTCTGGTCTCTATTTTAGGAAAAGTTTTCTTTGTTACATTTTCATAGATCTATGTGTTTTTGGGAGGAGATTTCCACTGCTCTACTCATGCCGCCATCCTGGCTCCACCCCGGGTATTTCAAATTTTGATTAGTAGTGCCATGTTGCTTTCTTAGAAGGTTGCACCAATTTGCATTTCAAATATACTTAACTCTAGGAAGAACCAAGACTGTAGGAGTATAAGAACTTGACCCAGGCTCTCAGAGTTAGTAACTAGTAGAGTTAGCTTTCAAACTCAGACCTGCCCATGCCATGTCTTGTAAGTCACAGATGTCTCAGCTGCCGTTGTAAAGCATACTTTTGGTTTTAAAGGAAGCACCATTATCTATCTTTTAATATTTTCATCACTCAATCAATCAAACATTAATGATATGTAGCACATTATGGCTTAGTCTATTGATTTTGTATCCTGTGACTTTACTGAACTTGTTTATTCTAACAGATTTTTGGTGGCGTTGTAGGGTTTTCTTTATATAGTATGTTATCTACAAATAGTGGCACTTTTAATTCTTCCTTTCTGATTTGTATGTCTTTTATTTCTTTTTTTTGCCTAATTGCTATGGCTAGAACTTCCAATACTAATTTGCATAAAAGTGATGAGAGTGGGCATCCTTGTCTTCCTCCTGACATTAGGAGAAGCTGTCAGCTTTTCACCATTGAGTATATTAGCTATTGTGTTATCATATATGGCTTCATTATGTTGAGATATGTTCCCTCTCTACCCACTTTGTTGAGAGTTTTTATCATAAATGGACATTAAATTTTGTCAGATGCTTTTTCTGCATTATTGAGATGGTCATATGATTTCATGATTTTTATCCTTCATTTTGGTAATGTGGTGGATCATACTGGTTGATTTGTGGATGTTCAACCATCCTTGCATTCCTAGAATAAATCTCATGATCATGGTTTATGATCATTTTAATGTGGTGTTGATTTCAGTTTGCTAATATTTTTATGAGGATTTTTGCATCTGTGTTCATTAGGGATGTTATGTTGGCTTGCAAATTTCTTTTTTTGTGTTGTCTTTGTCCAGTTTTGGTATTAGGTCAATACTGATCTCATAAAGTGAGTTTAGAAGCTTTCCCTCTTCTTCTAATCCCTTTATGGTGCTCAAAATATTTTTACATTCTTATACTAGTTATCTTATGGGATGAACATTGATTATTATCTTGTGAAGAACCGAGATTCAGGAAAAAAACCTTAAAATTTAAAATATACTCAAAAGATGGTCCTTGGCCAAAGGGCTTATAGCCCCCAAACTGCTAAAGAACTCAGGAAATAAAAAGGCTAATAGAAGTGAAATAAGGGGAGTCAGATTAGTTGCTTTGTATGTATTGATATTGGCATATTATATTCATGAACAATGGAATACACTAAAATATCTTTCCTGTCTTTTCTGCATATTTACCTGCCCGACTATCACTGGATGATTTCACATCACTTTCTCTCATAGGGTCAAGAAATTGGAGCATACTACTGAAGAGGAATGAGGAGCAGGTGGCAGCATGCTGGACCACACTCCCTCCTCATGCCTGCAAGAGCAGCATTTTTAAAGAGCTGTTTTTAAATATCTTTCCTGTCTTTTCTCTCATAGGGTCAAGAAATTGGAGCATGGCTGTTAACAATGGGAGCAACGATTTTGTAGTTCTGAGTAATGGCAGCATTGCAAATGGTGCTACCAACCCTGTGCCACTCACCTCCTGGGAAGGAGACCTTGCAGCCTGGCAGCCTGACTCCCAGGAGGCACCAAGAACAAAAGTGAGTCCCAATGGGTGCCTGCAAGTTAATGGCACAGTGAAGCCATCCCTGCTACCTTTAGACAACCAAAGAGTGCCTCAGATGTTACCCCACTGCCACCATCCTTGCCCATGCCGCCACCCTTTGCCTAGCCATGGCAGGTACCAGGAGAGCCTTCCCGATGCTAGCTTGGCAGTGCCTTTGGCTTTGTGCTGCGTGCAGCCGACCCCACAGCACTCTGCAGCTCTCCGCCCAAGCTGCTCACCTGTGTATCAGACTGTGTGCTGTCTACAGACCTCTTCCCCCTTCTGCCTGCACCATCCGTGGCCTGGCCATTCACAGCCTCAGCCTGTGCAACAGCTCACAGCCATTGTAAGGTGGGTGCTCCAGCATTTTGCTCAGTAATGCCATGTGGGTGCGATTGCTTGTGCTGACAAGGAGAAGGAGAGCAAACATGTTAGACAAAGGAAACAAAGAAAATGCAATTATGTGGATTGTGTGAAACCTATTAAACTGCCAATGAGGTAATATTATATTGATTTCATCTGTTGGCTTCTTGGTCAACTAGGCTTCCTCCATTTCTGCCTGTTGGGAGCTGGCTGGGTGTCCCTGTTAGTCTTTGAGCAGTTAAAGGTTTTATTGTTAGCAATTTTTATTTTATCATGGCAGATATATTTGTGATGAGGCTGCCTAAACAGGAGTCTTCTATTTGCTGTTAATTGGTAGTGGTCAACCTTGATGAAAAAGTGCAAAACCAGTTGCTTCCTTATGATGTTGCTCACAGTTTCTATCCCTGAGGCTCTGGTGATGGTGTAGTGCACTGAGATCAGGCGAAAGCAGCGATTCCTTCACAGCAGATGAAGCCTGGAAGTCCGAAGCAGAGGACTTTCGAAGACATGTTTTGTAAAGCCTTTTCAGGTCAGGCAGATTAAAAAGTACTAGAAAAATCCATATCGTTGCCATTTTTCCCATCTCTGCCCATATTTTCTCTTATGTGTGATTTCCAGCTGTTTTTTTCACAGGGAAGTTAAATCACACATGCTGCAGGTGAGAAATGTTAATATATTTTATAAAATACTGAGAACTTTGTGAAGGCCAAGTATTATTTCACATCTTTAGGTGACAAAAAGCTTTAACTGAGCTACAAGAGAGCATTCTTGTTTAACTAGGGGTGATTTATGTGCAGGGAAGTTCAGGTTTCTCAAGTGTACAGGCTCCTCAGTGTCGACAGATGTCTGTGCTATCATAATGCACACCTCAGGCTGATGGGGACTGTCCAGTTGTCCCAGAAGGTCCCTCATGCCTCCTTTTTATCATTCCTTCCCTCATCACTAGAGGCAGTCCTCTTTTTTTTAAAGTTTTTAAATAATTTTGGTATCATTAATATACAATTATGTGAGCAACATTGTGGTTACTAGATTCTCCCTTTATCAAGTCCCCATAGAGGCAGTCCTCTTAACATAGATCGGTTTTATCTGCTCTAAAATTTCCTATGAGTGGAGTCATATGGAATATATTCTCTCATGTCTGGCAATTTGGATTCAGCATAACATTTATGAGACTCCTCTAATTGCTGTGTGTATTAGTTTTCCTTTTTGTAGCAGTAATCCACTGTATGCATGTAGTAAATTCATGCATACAATATACAATGACTCATTTAAAGAGTCAGTACAAACTTTCAGTTATAAAGTAAATAAGTCATGGGGACATAATGAATAGCATGGTGATTATAGCCAACAAAACTCTATTATTCTTGGGTTCTGGAACCCTAAAATTAATTAATAATGATAATACTGTGAAATTCCTAAGAGAGATCTTTAAAGTTCTTATCATATGAAAAAATATTCTGTAGTTATGTATAGTTATGTGTGGTGATGGATATTCACTAGACTTACTGTGGTGATCAGTCTGCAATATGTACAAATATTGAACCATCATGGTGAACACCTGAGACTAGAATGTCTTCTGTCAGTCATATCTCAATTTATTGAAAAGAGTCAGAACCAGGGACTGCTATAGATGGAAGTATTCCAAAGGCTAAATAGATGTCACCAGGGGAAATAAAACCACAGTAAAGTAGAACAATTAATTACTAAGCAGATGCAAAATCAAATCACTATGCCCAAAGTCAATCAAGGGATAGACAAAGAGTACAGAATATGATACCTAACATATAAAGAATGGAGGAGGAAGAAAAAGGAGGGAAAAAAAAAGAACCTTTAGGTTGTGTTTCTAGTAGCATATGAAGTGAGTTAAATTAGACTGTTACATAGTTACATAGGGAATTACCCTTGAACCTTTGGTAACCATGAATCTAAAGCTTGCAATGGCAATAAGTACATATCCATTGATAATCACCCTAAATGTAAATGGTCTGAATATACCAATCAAAAGACATAGAGTCACCGAATGGATAAAAAAAAATACCCGTCTATATGCTGCCTACAAGAGACACACTTCAAACCCAAAGACATACAAGGACTGAAAGTAAAAGGATGGAAAAAGATATTTCATGCAACTAATAGGGAGAAAAAAGCAGGAGTTGCAGAGTTGTATCTTGTATCAGAAAAAATAGACTTCAAAACAAAGAAAGTCACAAGAGACAAAGAAGGACATTACATAATGATAAAGGGGTCAGTCCAATAAGAGGATATAACTATTATAAATATCTGTGCACCTAACACAGGATCACCTACATATGTGAAACAAATACTAACAGAATTAAAGGGGAAAATAGAATGTAATTCATTCATTTTAGGAGACTTCAACACACCACTCACTCCAAAGGACAGATCAAGCAGACAGAAATAAGCAAAGAGACAGAGGCACTGAACAACATATTAGAAGAGATGGACCTAATGGACATCTACAGAACACGCCATCCAAAAGCAACAGGATACACATTCTTCCCAAGTGCACATGGAACATTTTCAAGAATAGATCATATATTAGGCCACAAAAAGAGCCTCAGTAAATTAAAAAAGATTGAAATTGTACCAACCACTTTCTCAGATCACAAAGGAATGAAACTAGAAATAAATTACACAAAGAAAACAAAAAAGCCAACAAACACATGGGCTTAATGACATGCTCCTCAATAGCCAATGGATCAATGACCAAATAAAAACAGAGATCAAGCAATATATGACAACAATAATACAACACCACAAAAATCTGTGGGACTCAGTGACAGCTGTGCTAAGAGGGAAGTATATTGCAATACAGGCCTACCTCAGTAAAGAAGAACAATCCCAAATGAACACTCTAAACTCAATTAATGAGACTAGAGAAGGAAAAACAAATGAAGCCCAACGTAGTAGAAGGAGTGATATAATAAAAATCAGAGAATAAATAAAATTGAGAAGAATGAAACAAAGAAAGAATCAATGATAGCAAGAGCTGGTTCTTCAAGAAAATAAACAAAATAGATAAATCCCTAGCCAGACTTATCAAGAAAAAAAGAGAGTCTGCACACATAAACAGAATCAGAAATGAAAAAGGAAAAATCACTACGGACACCACAGAAATACAAAGAATTATGAGAGAATACTATAAAAAATTATATGGTAAAAAACTGGATAACCTAGAAGAAATGGACAACTTTCTAGAAAAATACAACCTTCCAAGGCTGACCCAGGAAAAAACAGAAAATCTAAACAAATGAGTTACCAGCAAGGAAATTGAATTGGTAATCAAAAAACTACTTAAGAACAAATCCCTGTACCAGATGGTTTCACTGCTGAATTTTATCAAACTTTTAGTGAGGACCTAATACCCATTCTCTTCAAAGTCTTCCAAAAAGTAGAAGAGGAGGGAATATTCCCAAACTCATTCTATGAGGCCAACATCACTCAAATACCAAAACCAGGCAAAGAATCCACAAAAAAAGAAAATTACAGAACAATATCCCTGGTGAACATAGATACAAAAATGCTCAACAAAATATTAGCAAACCGAATTCAAAAATATATCAAAAAGATCATCCGTCATAATCAAGTGGGATTCATCTCAGAGATGCAAGGATGGTACAACATTCAAAAATCCATCAACAAAAAGAGGGACAAAAACCACATGCTTATCTCCATAGATGCTGAAAAAGCATTCAACAAAATTCAACATCCATTCATGATAACAACTCTCAAGAAAATGGGTATAGAGGGCAAGTACCTCAACATAATAAAGGCCATATATGACAAACCCACAGCCAATATTATACCTAACAGTGAGAAGCTGAAAGCTTTTCCTTTAAGATTGGGAACAAGACAAGGATGCCCACTCTCCCTACTTTTATTCAACATAGTTCTGGAGGTCCTAGCCACAGCAATCAGACAAAACAAAGAAATAAAAAGTGTCCAGATTGTCAAGGAAAAAGTCAAAGTTTCCCTGTTTGCAGAGCATGATATTGTACATAAAAAACCCTAAGGAGAGTATCATAATTCTTCCAAGTGGTAAAGATACCTCAAGACAAATGCTGGGCATAGAAACCACAGGGCATAAATTTGCAAAGAAGTAAAAAGCTAACCTTTTCAAGATTGCTTCTCTCTCACTTACCAACTTTACATTTCCCTGTATGGCCCCAGAAGACAGCTGGTTAGCCAGAGACGGGTAAGATTCCTCAAGGGAGGAACAACCTAAGACAGGCACAGTCGCAGGGAGGCCATCAGGTGAGAAATTGGGGATCAACAGAGGTGAGGCTTAGAACCTCACCCCTCCCCCCGTTTTGAGAGAAATCTTCTGCATCTGTGGATGTTTTGTTGCCCTTGTCTAGCTTGGATTAACACATAGTCTATAGGCACAGACCTGATCATCTACATTTGCCCTCTTACAGCACTAAATCATGTTTTCTACCTTTATCTTGCATCTACCTACCACTTCAGCATTTTATTAAGAAAAAATAAGGGACAAATATGGGATTCACATATAAGTCAAGTATAAAAATCAAATGAATAATCATATTTGACCTGATTGTTTATAGTTCATGATACGTGATCAAAACCGAAAGTTTCTGTGATATGACTACCCTTGCACTGTTCACCATTTAAGAACTTATTCACTATGTAAGAACTTGTTCGTTATGCTTCAGAAGATTGGAGACTGTTGAGAATTAGGCTTGGGGTTGATTAATGACTGTGCATTGAGTCCCCTATATAGAATTTTATTGTTAACAACCATTTGATCAATAAATATGAGAGATGCCCTCTCAAAAAAAAAAAAAAAACTAAGGAATCCTCTCCAAAACTACTATATCTAATATCTGAATTCAGCAAAGTTGCAGGATACAAAATTAATACACAGAAATCTGTTGCATTCCTATACACTAATGATGAACTAACAGAAAGAGATAATCAGAAAAACAATTCCATTCACAAGTGCATCA